CTCTCGTTCTGTAGGATCACTAGTAGTTTCACTCAGTGTTGGACATCTCTCGTTCTGTAGGATCACTAGCAGTTTCACTCAGTGTTGTAGGATCACTAGTAGTTTCACTCAGTGTTGGACATCTCTCGTTCTGTAGGATCACTAGCAGTTTCACTCAGTGTTGGACATCTCTCGTTCTGTAGGATCACTAGCAGTTTCACTCAGTGTTGGACATCTCTCGTTCTGTAGGATCACTAGTAGTTTCACTCAGTGTTGGACATCTCTCGTTCTGTAGGATCACTAGTAGTTTCACTCAGTGTTGGACATCTCTCGTTCTGTAGGATCACTAGTAGTTTCACTCAGTGTTGGACATCTCTCGTTCTGTAGGATCACTAGTAGTTTCACTCAGTGTTGGACATCTCTCGTTCTGTAGGATCACTAGTAGTTTCACTCAGTGTTGGACATCTCTCGTTCTGTAGGATCACTAGTAGTTTCACTCAGTGTTGGACATCTCTCTTCTGTAGGATCACTAGTAGTTTCACTCAGTGTTGGACATCTCTCGTAGGATCTGTAGTCAGTGTTGGACATCTCTTGTTCTGTAGGATCACTAGTAGTTTCACTCAGTGTTGGACATCTCTCGTTCTGTAGGATCACTAGTAGTTTCACTCAGTGTTGGACATCTCTCGTTCTGTAGGATCACTAGTAGTTTCACTCAGTGTTGGACATCTCTCGTTCTGTAGGATCACTAGTAGTTTCACTCAGTGTTGGACATCTCTTGTTCTGTAGGATCACTAGTAGTTTCACTCAGTGTTGGACATCTCTCGTTCTGTAGGATCACTAGTAGTTTCACTCAGTGTTGGACATCTCTCGTTCTGTAGGATCACTAGTAGTTTCACTCAGTGTTGGACATCTCTCGTTCTGTAGGATCACTAGTAGTTTCACTCAGTGTTGGACATCTCTCGTTCTGTAGGATCACTAGTAGTTTTCACTCATCTCTCGTTCTGTAGGATCATTAGTAGTTTCACTCAGTGTTGGACATCTCTTGTTCTGTAGGATCACTAGTAGTTTCACTCAGTGTTGGACATCTCTCGTTCTGTAGGATCACTAGTAGTTTCACTCAGTGTTGGACATCTCTCGTTCTGTAGGATCACTAGTAGTTTCACTCAGTGTTGGACATCTCTCGTTCTGTAGGATCACTAGCAGTTTCACTCAGTGTTGGACATCTCTCGTTCTGTAGGATCACTAGTAGTTTCACTCAGTGTTGGACATCTCTCGTTCTGTAGGATCACTAGTAGTTTCACTCAGTGTTGGACATCTCTCTAGCAGTTCTGTAGGATCACTAGTAGTAGGATCACTCAGTGTTGGACATCTCTCGTTGTGTAGGATCACTAGTAGTTTCACTCAGTGTTGGACATCTCTCGTTCTGTAGGATCACTAGCAGTTTCACTCAGTGTTGGACATCTCTCGTTCTGTAGGATCACTAGTAGTTTCACTCAGTGTTGGACATCTCTCGTTCTGTAGGATCACTAGCAGTTTCACTCAGTGTTGGACATCTCTCGTTCTGTAGGATCACTAGTAGTTTCACTCAGTGTTGGACATCTCTCGTTGTGTAGGATCACTAGTAGTTTCACTCAGTGTTGGACATCTCTTGCTCTGTAGGATCACTAGCAGTTTCACTCAGTGTTGGACATCTCTCGTTCTGTAGGATCACTAGCAGTTTCACTCAGTGTTGGACATCTCTCGTTCTGTAGGATCACTAGCAGTTTCACTCAGTGTTGGACATCTCTCGTTCTGTAGGATCACTAGTAGTTTCACTCAGTGTTGGACATCTCTCGTTCTGTAGGATCACTAGTAGTTTCACTCAGTGTTGGACATCTCTCATTGTGTAGGATCACTAGCAGTTTCACTCAGTGTTGGACATCTCTCGTTCTGTAGGATCACTAGCAGTTTCACTCAGTGTTGGACATCTCTCGTTCTGTAGGATCACTAGCAGTTTCACTCAGTGTTGGACATCTCATTGTGTAGGATCACTAGCAGTTTCACTCAGTGTTGGACATCTCTCATTGTGTAGGATCACTAGCAGTTTCACTCAGTGTTGGACATCTCTTGCTCTGTAGGATCATTAGTAGTTTCACTCAGTGTTGGACATCTCTTGTTCTGTAGGATCACTAGTAGTTTCACTCAGTGTTGGACATCTCTTGTTCTGTAGGATCACTAGTAGTTTCACTCAGTGTTGGTCATCTCTTGCTCTGTAGGATCATTAGTAGTTTCACTCAGTGTTGGACATCTCTTGTTCTGTAGGATCACTAGTAGTTTCACTCAGTGTTGGACATCTCTTGTTCTGTAGGATCACTAGCAGTTTCACTCAGTGTTGGACATCTCTCATTGTGTAGGATCACTAGCAGTTTCACTCAGTGTTGGACATCTCTCGTTCTGTAGGATCACTAGTAGTTTCGCTCAGTGTTGGACATCTCTTATTCTGTAGTATCACTAGTAGTTTCACTCAGTGTTGGACATCTCTTATTCTGTAGTATCACTAGTAGTTTCACTCAGTGTTGGACATCTCTTATTCTGTAGTATCACTAGTAGTTTCACTCAGTGTTGGACATCTCTCGTTCTGTAGGATCACTAGTAGTTTTGCTCAGTGTTGGACATCTCTCATTCTGTAGTATCACTAGTAGTTTCACTCAGTGTTGGACATCTCTTATTCTGTAGTATCACTAGTAGTTTCACTCAGTGTTTGACATCTCTCGTTCTGTAGGATCATTAGTAGTTTCACTCAGTGTTGGACATCTCTCGTTCTGTAGGATCACTAGCAGTTTCACTCAGTGTTGGACATCTCTCGTTCTGTAGGATCACTAGTAGTTTCGCTCAGTGTTGGACATCTCTCGTTCTGTAGGATCATTAGTAGTTTCACTCAGTGTTGGACATCTCTCGTTCTGTAGGATCATTAGTAGTTTCACTCAGTGTTGGACATCTCTCGTTCTGTAGGATCATTAGTAGTTTCACTCAGTGTTGGACATCTCTTGTTCTGTAGGATCACTAGTAGTTTCACTCAGTGTTGGACATCTCTCGTTCTGTAGGATCATTAGTAGTTTCACTCAGTGTTGGACATCTCTTGTTCTGTAGGATCACTAGCAGTTTCACTCAGTGTTGGACATCTCTCGTTCTGTAGGATCACTAGCAGTTTCACTGGCTTGTACATTTCACGTTTCCATCCTATTGACTTAAACTTCCCTGTCGACAGAAAATGTGCTGGGGAAACCAGGTGATCTGTGTGAGTGATAGTGATAATATCAACCTTGATTGGTCTGTGCAACTCTGGCAGCAGCATCATATTGCCACCATGCTTTCAGGCATGCAAATCCTTCTTGTGCTGGGATTGAAACCAGTCCTCTGTCACCTTGTCTTCCCCTCACATTCTATGTGGTCACCTTGTCTTCCCCTCACATTCTATGTGGTCACCTTGTCTTCCCCTCACATTCTATGTGGTCACCTTGTCTTTCCATCACATTCTATGTGGTCACCTTGTCTTTCCATCACATTCTATGTGGTCACCTTGTCTTTCCATCACATTCTATGTGGTCACCTTGTCTTTCCATCACATTCTATGTGGTCACCTTGTCTTTCCATCACATTCTATGTGGTCAACTTGTCTTTCCATCACATTCTATGTGGTCACCTTGTCTTTCCATCACATTCTATGTGGTCACCTTGTCTTTCCATCACATTCTATGTGGTCACCTTGTCTTTCCATCACATTCTATGTGGTCACCTTGTCTTTCCATCACATTCTATGTGGTCAACTTGTTTTCCCATCACATTAAATGTGGTCACCTTGTTTTCCCATCACATTCTATGTGGTCACCTTGTCTTCCCATCACATTCTATGTGGTCAACTTGTCTTTCCATCACATTCTATGTGGTCAACTTGTTTTCCCATCACATTATACGTGGTCACCTTGTTTTCCCATCACATTATATGTGGTCACCTTGTCTTCTCATCACTATTGTTGTGGTCACCTTGTCTTCTCATCACTATTGTTGTGGTCACCTTGTCTTCTCATCACTATTGTTGTGGTCACCTTGTCTTCTCATCACTATTGCTGTGGTCACCTTGTCTTCTCATCACTATTGTTGTGGTCACCTTGTCTTTCCAGCACATTTCCTATGATCTTTTCTGTGCTTTTTCTCATTGCACTGCATACGTTGGTCTTCATTTCCTCAGTTCTGTCATTGATGCCATTATTTCATCTTCTGAGTGGTCTTCTCCTTGCTCTGTGTCCACTGTATTTCTTCAGTTTGGCTGTTGATACCAAGCCATTCCCAACAGCCTAGTCTTCTTGCAGTTTCTTCAAGTTTAATTGTATCTCTGCAAGTGTTGGTAGTTCCATGTAACATTAGACAAGAGGAAGTGTTGGTAGTTCATGTAACATTAGACAAGAGGAAGTGTTGGTAGTTCCATGTAACATTAGACAAGAGGAAGTGTTGGTAGTTCATGTAACATTAGACAAGAGGAAGTGTTGGTAGTTCCATGTAACATTAGACAAGAGGAAGTGTTGGTAGTTCATGTAACATTAGACAAGAGGAAGTGTTGGTAGTTCCATGTAACATTAGACAAGAGGAAGTGTTGGTAGTTCATGTAACATTAGACAAGAGGAAGTGTTGGTAGTTCCATGTAACATTAGACAAGAGGAAGTGTTGGTAGTTCCATGTAACATTAGACAAGAGGAAGTGTTGGTAGTTCATGTAACATTAGACAAGAGGAAGTGTTGGTAGTTCCATGTAACATTACATAGGAGAAAGTGCTGTGAAGAAAGATCAAGCACTGAGATGTTTGTATGCTCACACAGAGACCAAAGATTGTTTGTGAAGAAAGTTCAAGCACTGAGATATTTGTATGCTCACACAGAGACCAGAGATTGTTTGTAAAGAAAGAGCAAGCACTGAGATTGCTTGTGGAGAAAGATCAAACATAGATGTTTGTATGCTCACACAAACATGTTTGTATGTTCACACAGAGACCAGAGATAGCCTGTGGGGACGAGGATCTGAGGCAGTTTATTGATCAGCACTGTCCCATCTCCAGGGAGAAGTACTGGCCCACCTGGTGGTGCATCGAGTCACATGCTCAGACACTGGTCAGGACGGCGCTGCAGTCAGACCTGCCCATCGTCTATACAGGGTGTGTTGTATTGATCTTATGTTTTAATTGTTCCCGGAATAATTCCTGGTTCCCCATTTGAAGTTTGACCGACCTGGTAGTCAAGATTAGTTGTTAAAAGAAAGTATGTTTTCTTGTGGGCTCGAACTCAAAGACCTTTAGCCCAGCAAGCAAGGATCTAAGGCTTGTATTTATGCTGAAACCTGCCACTGTATTATTTTCAACTTTTGTAATGTTGTGGGGGGGGGGGGGGGGGGGGGTCTTTGAGCCTGAGGATTTGTGGCTAGTGCTGTCGCCACACACTCTACAGGTTAGAATGTCATTTTTCCATTGACCAAAAAAAACAAAAGTAAAATATCCTCAGCCTTACTGAGAATTTGATCCTGTGTGTGCCACTATTAGTACCAACTAGAAATTGTCACTGATTTTATCTAGAGTAACCAAGTGTATGAGTCTAAAACAGTGGACATCTTTCTTGTTTATGTTTGACCTTAGAAGAGCCGATGGCATGTTGTGGTTTACAGCAAGGCTGTGATATCCGTGCCTTTTGGCCCGACACAGCAGATTTCTGCAAAACCCTAATTAGTTGCCTTTTACGGCATGCTTGTTAGGGGCCAGCGGATCTTTTCTCCTCAAAATCTTCATGCAGAGAAGAAATAAGGTTAATAACATTCTGGGGCAGAAGACACTCTGCTTACAAATATGATAGTGTGTGTTTTTGTCTCAGACTGTCTGAGACTAGTCTACTGTCTTTGGACTCCCGTGTGGAGTCCGGTGCCCCGGTGTGGGGAAAACAAGGATAGACCCACTGCAGAATCAACAAATTTTTTTTTTTTTTTCTAAGTCGGGGTGCATCTGCCCAAGCGGAAGGAACAATAAGATGAGCACAAATAAATCAGTAAAACTGATGTGCACGCAAGAAATAACAGCTGTTCTTTCCATTGACTAAGAAAACAAGGGTTCTGTTGTCACACAGGACAGTATGGCAGAATCACAAGTTTATCCTGACATCACAATGACCAAATCTATTTTGTTCTCCCCAGATAATCCATTACAGAAACGGGTACTCCTCCGAATAACGGTCCCAAATTATTGAGGTTAAAAACATACCCTAACAGGGCCTCAATGATACGTAAAATGGGGATTTTTTCCCGGCAGATATGGCAGGCAGACCATCAGCTCTGACACAGATTAGCAATGATGTTCTGCCGATTGATGACTTGCCAGCTGTAGATATTTATTGGGTTAGGGTTGGGGTTAATTATATTTTATTTCCTAGTTTTCACCAGTTATACTAGATGACCTGTTGAGGCCCTGTCAGGGTATGTTTTTAACCTCGATAATTTGGGACCGTTTTTCGGAGGAGTGCAAAAAAAAAAAAATTACACACACATACATACATACATACATACATACATACATACATACATACATACATACATACATACATACATATATTTAGTCTGATCATACTTCGCACCTTGCAGTTGCAGCTAGTACGAGCAACAGTTTTAACTTCGCCCCAATATGGGACGCAGTTGTTTGCTAAAGTCTCACCCGAACCATTGTCAGGGGCCTAATGGTGGAACTGGGTTTCTGGGGCTTGTGCCCAGGGGATTCTCATCCAGATGGTGGCACTTTGTGTCGCCAAGTGTTCCGTTGTTCGGTCCAGGTTAGGTTGAACGTCAGTTGGTCAAGCTGTTTTTTAGTGTACTAGCCACTGCAAAAAGGTGTAATGTCATCAAAAACCTGTTTACATTGTTTTTAATGGATTTCTCAAGGTGGCAGGATTAAGTCTGTCTGTCTTTCTGTTAGAGAAGACAGAAGTGGAGGTATTATCACAGAATCGAAGTATTCAAGGTTTACATTGACGCTTTTCAGGGAACTGGTGAGGACTCAAGATGGCGGAGAGATTCTTCTTGACTGGCACGATTGTGAGGAGACAAGTCCCTACCCTAGTGAAACCAGACCAACTATCGTCTTTCTCCCAGGACTTACAGGTAGGCTGTCAGTGTTTCTGCCAGGACTTACTTACAGCTAGGCTGTCAGTGTTTGTGCCAGGACTTACAGCTAGGCTGTCAGTGTTTCTGCCAGGACTTACAGGTAGGCTGTCAGTGTTTGTGCCAGGACTTACAGGTAGGCTGTCAGTGTTTCTGCCAGGACTTACAGGTAGGCTGTCAGTGTTTGTGCCAGGACTTACAGGTAGGCTGTCAGTGTTTGTGCCAGGACTTACAGGCAGGCTGTCAGTGTTTGTGCCAGGACTTACTTACAGCTAGGCTGTCAGTGTTTGTGCCAGGACTTACAGGTAGGCTGTCAGTGTTTGTGCCAGGACTTACAGCTAGACTGTCAGTGTTTGTGCCAGGACTTACAGGTAGGCTGTCAGTGTTTGTGCCAGGACTTACTTACAGCTAGACTGTCAGTGTTTGTGCCAGGACTTACAGGTAGGCTGTCAGTGTTTGTGCCAGGACTTACTTACAGCTAGGCTGTCCTGTCAGTGTTTGTGCCAGGACTTACAGCTAGGCTGTCAGTGTTTGTGCCAGGACTTACAGCTAGGCTGTCAGTGTTTGTGCCAGGACTTACTTACAGCTAGGCTGTCAGTGTTTGTGCCAGGACTTACAGGTAGGCTGTCAGTGTTTGTGCCAGAACTTACAGTTAGGCTGTCAGTGTTTGTGCCAGGACTTACTTACAGCTAGGCTGTCAGTGTTTGTGCCAGGACTTACAGGTAGACTGTCAGTGTTTGTGCCAGGACTTACTTACAGCTAGGCTGTCAGTGTTTGTGCCAGGACTTACAGGTAGACTGTCAGTGTTTGTGCCAGGACTTACAGCTAGGCTGTCAGTGTTTGTGCCAGGACTTACAGTTAGGCTGTCAGTGTTTGTGCCAGGACTTACAGGTAGGCTGTCAGTGTGTGTGCCAGGACTTACAGGTAGGCTATTAGTGTTTGTGCCAGGACTTACTTACAGCTAGGCTGTCAGTGTTTGTGCCAGGACTTACAGCTAGGCTGTCAGTGTTTGTGCCAGGACTTACTTACAGCTAGGCTGTCAGTGTTTGTGCCAGGACTTACAGCTAGGCTGTCAGTGTTTCTGCCAGGACTTACTTACAGCTAGGCTGTCAGTGTTTGTGCCAGGGCTTTATGCTAGGCTGTCAGTGTTTGTGCCAGGACTTACTTACAGCTAGGCTGTCAGTGTTGGTGCCAGGACTTACAGGTAGGCTGTCAGTGTTTGTGCCAGGACTTACTTACAGCTAGGCTGTCAGTGTTGGTGCCAGGACTTACAGGTAGGCTGTCAATGTTGGTGCCAGGACTTACTTACAGCTAGGCTGTCAGTGTTTGTGCCAGGACTTACAGGTAGGCTGTCAGTGTTTGTGCCAGGGCTTACAGGCAGGCTGTCAGTGTTTGCCCCACGACTTACAAACAGGCTGTCAGTGTTTGTCCCAGGACTTACAGGCAGGCTGTCAGTGTTTGTGCCAGGACTTACAGGTAGGCTGTCAGTGTTTGTGCCAGGACTTACAGGTAGGCTGTCAGTGTTTGTGCCAGGACTTACAGATAGGCTGTCAGTGTTTGCCCCACGACTTACAGACAGGCTGTCAGTGTTTGTCCCAGGACTTACAGGCAGGCTGTCAGTGTTTGCCCCAGGACTTACAGGCAGGCTGTCAGTGTTTGTCCCAGGACTTACAGGTATTCTGTCAGTGTTTGTCCCAGGACTTACAGGTAGGCTATCAGTGTTTCTCCTAGGACTTACAGGTACACAGTAGTTTTGCAAGACTGCAAGCCGGTGGCTAGGGCCTGAAAAGGGTGGCTAAAGCAAGAGTGTGCAGCAGGAGTGCAAGTTCAGGGTGACTGCCCCTCTAAATGTGCCCTGGTAGGAAATAATCGTTACTGGGAACGAACACAATATGAAGGACAGTGCCTGCCTCCTTAGAAAGCTGGGAATGGGGCTCAATTACCTTCCTCGATTTCTGGTTAGCAACTAACCAGGAGCCAGTCTCTTGTCTTTCCTCGCTTGCTTCTCCGATCTTGTGTATTCCGTGCTGCACGTATCTTTCACGGGCTTTTTGTGTCCGTGAACTACCATATGAAGCGCATACATCACAGACATGTTCGAGAAGAACCCAGTTTGACATCTGGACGTGCCATATGTCATGATTTTCAACAAACACGCCCAGTTGAGTTTAAAAATGCAATATTTTAACAAAGATTACACTATGGAGATCACAGTAATAAACAAAAGCTCTTTGTAGCTGTTATAAACATGATCGTATTTAAAAAAAAAAAAAAAATCGCATCAGTCAGTGAGGTTCATTGTCCATGGTTCTTCCAGAATGTACATGTACACTTTCAGTGTCTGGACATATTCGTATCCATGCACAACTGATTGTATCCAATCCTTCGTAAATCCATTGTTTTATATCTCCATGTCTTGTTATGTTCTCATCCGTGCAAGACTATTCATTCCCTTATATATCCATAGTTGAACATTTTCATGCCTGGGCATATCCATGTTTGACTGTATCCATGCATGGCTGACTGTATCCATGCATGGCTGACTGTATCCATGCCTGGCTGATTGTATTCATGCCTGGCTGATTGTATCCATGTATGGCTGACTGTATCCATGTATGGCTGACTGTATCCATGCCTGACTGACTGCAGGTAGCAGTAAAGAGAACTACATCCTACACCTGGTCAGCGATGCCTCACAGATGGGCTACAGGAGTGTGGTGTTCAACAACCGTGGCACAGGAGACTCCAGTCTTAAGGTATCTCACCTTTTTTCACCCCTATTGACCCTTACTTTTTTTCACTGGCTCTATACTTGTGGTGTCTAACCTTTTTCCTGTGACAGCCCCCTTCAATTTATGGTGAGACCCCCCACAATGATGATGATAATCCTTTTGTGTCAACTCATAACTGTTTGTTTTTATCCATGACATAAGGTGAACATCCTTAACTCTTTGAGTCCCAAGGAACGCATCATACGTTCATATGTTCCTACCTAGAGGCACAATAAACGCCAGATGCGCTGATTTTACATCTCTCTTGACTACCCCTTGGGCCTCAAAGAGTTAAATATTCTTCCACTAGAATTTTATCTCCCTGTGGAGATTGATCATTCATCCTTTCTTGTATTTCTTCTCGTCGTCACCCTCTGCCATCTCTGCTATTTCTTCTGCTGCATCTCCAGCTTCATCTTTTTCTTCTCTGCTCTGATAACTTTGCTGCTGCCTTATCCTCTGCAAGTTGTGCCTGATGCGCCGCTGGCTTAGAAAAGGTCATATAATGTAGGCATCAGCATAGGCAGTTGTGTTTGGCCATCTCACACAATCCATTCAATGTTTTTTATCTCGCATCCTCCGTCTGGTCAATCCATTGAGGTATTTATTTCTTTGCCTTTCTCTTCCTCTCTTTCCATCAATGTTGCCAGTTTTTATGAAGTTCTTGAGAACATTCCTTCTCATATTATGTCCAGCAACTATTGACAGCCCATGTCCAAATGTTCTGAAAGGTGTACGACTTTCGTCTGTCTTCCTGAGGACTGCTTCGTTTGTTTTTCTATCATTTTCTTCAATTATGTGCATTCTACTCAGAAACCACATCTCTGCAGGTTACGCTTTTCATGCATGTATAATTCTTCTTCTTCTTTCATTGGCTTGAAATAAATTATCTATATCTGCAATGTTGTCTCTAGTATGAACTTTCCTGTCTGTTGTAATTCAATCAGCGGCCCCCAAAGTTTGCACCAGTGTTTCTCTTGGCCAGAAGCTTTGCTTTGATATGTTGTATGAATTATGTAATCCATTTTAAACCATCATCATCATCATTGGATGAAGCGAACATTTATCTCTGCTGTGCAATCAGCCACCAGACATTGTGGAGAAGGTCAGTCAGCTGAAGAGGGTTCTCATCATATCTTCTGTTTGCAGACTCCACGGACATACTGTGCTGCCAATGTGGATGACCTGACGCTGGTTGTGAGCCACATACGGGAGAAATACCCTCAAGCTCCACTCATCGGAGTCGGGATCTCTCTCGGAGGGTGAGTTTAGTCAGACATCTTCCAGTGAATCACTATAGTTGGTAAGACATATTGCAGGGAATCAGTATATTTAGAGATATTGCAATGAATCAGTATTGTTAGTGAAAGATATTGCAATGAATCAGTATAGTTAGTGAAAGATATTGCAATGAATCAGTATAGTTGGTAAGAAATATTGCAGTGAATCAGTATAGTTGGTGAGAGATAATGCAATGAATCAGTATTGATAGTGAGAGATCGTGCAATGAATCAGTATAGTTAGTAAAAGATATTGCAGTGAATCAGTATAGTTAGTGAAAGATATTGCAATGAATCAGTATAGTTGGTGAGAGATATTGTAGAGAATCCGTATAGTTGGTAAGAAATATTGCAGTGAATCAGTATAGTTGGTGAGAGATAATGCAATGAATCAGTATTGATAGTGAGAGATCGTGCAATGAATCAGTATAGTTAGTAAAAGATATTGCAGTGAATCAGTATAGTTAGTGAAAGATATTGCAATGAATCAGTATAGTTGGTGAGAGATCTTGCAGCAAATCAGTATAGTTGGTGAGAGATCTTGCAGCAAATCAGTATAGTTGGTGAGAGATAATGCAATGAATCAGTATTGATAGTGAGAGATCGTGCAATGAATCAGTATAGTTAGTAAAAGATATTGCAGTGAATCAGTATAGTTAGTGCAAGATCTTGCACTGAATCACTATAGTTAGTGCAAGATCTTACAGTGAATCAGTATAATAGTTAGTAAGAGATCTTGCAGTGCACATGGGAAATTATGTGTAAATAATTTATGATTGTGAATGTTGTCTTCCGTTTTCAGAATGATTTTATTCAATTATCTGGCACGGGTCGGCTCACAGACAGATTTGCTGGCTGCCATGATTTTCTCCCCTGCCTACGACTTGCACGAGTCATCTTCATCCTTGGATCGGCCACTCAATTACTGGCTGTTCAACCGGCAGCTGGCACACAGTCTCTGTGATATTTTTAGAAGGTGTGTCCCTTATTCTCTGTCCATTTCTGGCACTTGTTAATTTAGTCTTGAAGAATATCTGGGCTGGTTGCTGAGTTTTTATCTGATTTTATTTTGTTGTTAAAGATTTCAGCCAGTGTGTTTATCTGACATGAGAAAGAACCCCCCCCCCCCCCCAAAAAAAAAACTGAAGCCAGTGTATAACCTGTCTGATAAGGAAAAGATTTTGAAGCCAGTGGGTTACTTGACTGATAAGGGAAAGATTTTGAAGCCAGTGGGTTACTTGACTGATAAGGGAAAGATTTTGAAGCCATTGGGTTACTTGACTGATAAAATAGAAACATGGAAGCCAGTTTATTACAAGACTGATGAGATAGAAGGAGTTGAAAGTAATTCTTTAACCTGCCACGTCAGAGTTAAAAAAAAAAAAAATCTAGTGTTACCTTGAGGTGGGCTGTCTGATACTGTAGAAAACATAAGCTGGAGTCAATCGACACAGGGCTGAGACCACTGTCAGTCTCACTGCTGTTGACAACACTATCGTCATCGGCATCACAGCCATGATCATTATTGTTGTAATGTGTCTCCCCTGCACCTAATCTTTCTCGTGCAGATTCAACACTGGCTCTGTTGTCTAGGTGTTATGTCACAGTTCATTCCAGCCAAACTTCTCTTCTCTCTAACTGTCACACGTCAATGACAGTTGTCAGCACTTCACATGTTTATTGTCAATACAACACAAGCAACAAGAATCAACAGTAGAACTAATCACTTAACGCCATTCGGGCAAGCTCGCCTTGCTCATGCTCTAAGTCTCCAACCACGCTTCAGACGATGAACAATGGCATGTACACGGATGGCCTAACCAACAGGCCGTAGAACACAACTGCTGTCCTAAACAGTAATTCAACACAGCTTGGCTCCTTGTCATTCAGGACTAACGTTCACTCGATTCTCATTTAGATCCACGTTTATACTTATCGCTGTGAATTCAGTTTCTTTCCCTTTCAATCTGGGCTCCAGTCACCGAATGACCACCTCATTGTCAATCCCCCAGATCTCGCATTCACACACGTGACTTGCTCAGTTCTGTCTTTTCACCATCTCCCCGTAAAACCCATGCTAAAGGGACTTTCCCAGTTCTGTCACTCAGTCATACCCTGACGTTATCCCTATTTATAGCATCATTACAACTGTTAAAGTCAGCATTCACCATCATCATCAACATCAGGCCAGTCCACACTGTCACCAGTTATTGCCCCAGGAATCGGTCACTAAATTCATTTCTGGACACTTCTGTTTCAGAAACATTGACACATTTGAGAGACATTTGGACATTGACCCGGCACACGTCCTTGAGGTGAGTTGTTCACACGTCCTTGAGGTCAGTTGTTCACACGTCCTTGAGGTCAGTTGTTCACACGTCCTTGAGGTGAGTTGTTCACACGTCCTTGAGGTCAGTTGTTCACACGTCCTTGAGGTGAGTTGTTCACATGTCCCTGAGGTGAGTTGTTCACATGTCCCTGAGGTGAGTTGTTCACACGTCCTTGAGGTCAGTTGTTCACATGTCCTTAAGGTGTCCTTGAGGTGAGTTGTTCACACGTCCTTGAGGTGAGTTGTTCACACGTCCTTGAGGTCAGTTGTTCACACGTCCTTGAGGTGAGTTGTTCACATGTCCTTGAGGTGAGTTGTTCACACGTCCTTGAGGTGAGTTGTTCACATGTCCTTGAGGTGAGTTGTTCACATGTCCTTGAGGTCAGTTGTTCACACGTCCTTGAGGTCAGTTGTTCACACGTCCTTGAGGTCAGTTGTTCACATGTCCTTGAGGTGAGTTGTTCACATGTCCTTGAGGTGAGTTGTTCACATGTCCTTGAGGTGAGTTGTTCACATGTCCTTGAGGTGAGTTGTTCACATGTCCTTGAGGTGAGTTGTTCACATGTCCTTGAGGTGAGTTGTTCACATGTCCTTGAGGTGAGTTGTTCACATGTCCTTGAGGTGAGTTGTTCACATGTCCTTGAGGTCAGTTGTTCACACGTCCTTGAGGTGAGTTGTTCACATGTCCTTGAGGTGAGTTGTTCACACGTCCTTGAGGTCAGTTGTTCACACGTCCTTGAGGTCAGTTGTTCACACGTCCTTAAGGTGAGTTGTTCACACGTCCTTGGGGTCAGTTGTTCTATCTTTTTCTCCTAATCCCTCTGTTCTGCACAGGCACCGCTTAATGATTTTTGCTTTCTCCGTGTTTCAGCTCCATACAGCTGTAGGGATATGACATTATACTTTAAAATTTCAAGTTTTTTACTAGTTTTAATTTCCTTTCACTTTTGCTGATTTTTTAACGATATGAAAGCTTGTCTTGCCTTTTGTATTCATTAGATCTATGTCTGTTGCCTTTGTTTGACAACATTACTGCCTGAATAGATGCATGACTCCACATCTTGAAGAGAAGTTCTACCAAGGAAGATTGGGTTACTGTTTCAGAACAAAAACAGGACGTCTTCTTCTTCTTTGTTTATATTGGCTGTAAACTCCGGTGAAAAGTTCTGGTGTTCGTCTACCTCTGGACTTTTAGTCTTTTTCCAAAACAAGCTATTTGTGCACATTTGTTTTGCAAATCTAGCTTCGTTCTGTGCAGAATGTTTCTTTGCCTCTCAGGCAGATATATTCCAACTTCAAATGAAGCTCCCAAATAGTCAACTCTTACTTGGGGAGACAGTGGGTTTGTTCTTGTTTGTCCCACCATTCACCCTGAACCCACACAGGGAATTAAACAAGACTGTAAGCTAACTGTAGAAGAGGAAAGACTAAACAAGACCTTAAGGTAACTGTACATCTCAGGGTAGAAGAGGAAAGACTAAACAAGACCTTAAGGTAACTGTACATCTCAGGGTAGAAGAGGAAAGACTAAACAAGACCTTAAGGTAACTGTACATCTCAGGGTAGAAGAGGGAAGACTAAACAAGACCTTAAGGTAACTGTACATCTCAGGGTAGAAGAGGGAAGACTAAACAAGACTGTAAGCTAACTGTACATCTCAGGGTAGAAGAGGGAAGACTAAACAAGACTGTAAGCTAACTGTACATCTCAGGGTAGAAGAGGGAAGACTAAACAAGACTGTAAGCTAACTGTACATCTCAGGGTAGAAGAGGAAAGACTAAACAAGACCTTAAGGTAACTGTACATCTCAGGGTAGAAGAGGAAAGACTAAACAAGACCTTAAGGTACCCAGGGAGGAAGAGGGAACACTAAACAGGACTGTAAGGTACCTCTACATCCCAGGGTAGAATTGGAAAGACTTAACAAGACCATAAGGTACCTCTGCATCCCAGGGTAGAAGAGGGAAGACTAAACAAGACTGTAAGGTACCTCTACATCCCTGGGTAGAAGAGGAAGACTAAACAAAACTGTAAGGTACCTCTACATCCCTGGGTAGAGGAGGGAAGACTAAACATGACTGTAAGGTACCTCTACATCCCTGGGTAGAAGAGGGAAGACTAAACAAGACTGTAAGGTACCTCTGCATCCCAGGGTAGAAGAGGAAGACTAAACAAGACTGTAAGGTACCTCTCTATCCTAGGATATTAAAAGACAGAACATGACTATAAAGTACCCTTGCTTCTAAAGCCACGCTTTACAAAGATTATAGAATTTTTTATTTATAAAAAAATTGTTTATTTTATATATTTCTGGCACAGAGTGAGTCCATCAAAGACTTCGATGAGAGACTGACCATCAAACTGTTTGGCTTTGAGTCGGCAGAGCACTATTATAAAGCTGCCTGTCTCAGCTCTAAGGTCCACACACTGGCCAAACCTGTGGTCTGCCTCAGTGCCGCTGACGATCCTTTTGCTCCAGAGTATTGTAAGTTGTCATTGTGTCTTCTTGTACTGCTAGTCCTCTTTCTGTCCTAGATCTCCCCTCATAAGTTTTTTTTTCTGTCCTAGATCTCCTCATGAGTTTTTTTTTGTTTCTGTCCTAGATCTCCCCTCGTGAGTCTTCCCTCAAGAATTTTCTTTCTGTCCTAGATCTCCCTTTGTAAGTTTTCTTTCTGTCCTAGGTCTCCCCTCATAAGTTTTATTTCTGTCCTAGTTCTTCCCTCATGAGTTTTCTTTCTGTCCGAGATCTTCCCTCATGTTTTATTACTGTCCTAGTTCTTTCCTCGTGAGTTTTCTTTCTGTCCGAGATCTTCCCTTATGTTTTCTTTCTGTCCTAGATCTCCCCCTTGTGAGTTTTCTTTCTGTCCTAGATCTTCCTCGTGAGTTTTCTTTCTGTCCTAGATCTCCCCCTCATGAGTTTTCTTTCTGTCCTAGATCTCCTCTGAGTTTTCTTTCTGTCCTAGATCTCCTCATGAGTTTTCTTTCTGCCCTAGATCTCCCTCATGTTTTCTTTCTGTCCTAGATCTCCTCTGAGTTTTCTTTCTGTCCTAGATCTCCTCATGAGTTTTCTTTCTGTCCTAGATCTCCTCTGAGTTTTCTTTCTGTCCTAGATCTCCTCATGAGTTTTCTTTCTGCCCTAGATCTCCCTCATGTTTTCTTTCTGTCCTAGATCTCCTCTTATGAGTTTTCTTTCTGTCCTAGATCTCCTCTTATGAGTTTTCTTTCTGTCCTAAATCTCCTCTCATGAGTTTTCTTTCTGTCCTAGATCTCTCCTTATGAGTTTTCTTTCAGTCCCAGATCTCCTTTCCTGAGATTTCTTTCTGCCCTAGATCTCCCCTCATGAGTTTTCTTTCTGCCCTAGATCTCCCCTCAAGAATTTTCTTTCTGCCCTAGATCTCCCTTTGTAAGTTTTCTTTCTGTCCTAGGTCTTCCCTCGTGAGTTTTATTTCTGTCCTAGATCTCCCCTTGTGAGTTTTCTTTCTGCCCTAGATCTGCCCTCGTGAGTTTTCTTTCGGTCCTAGATCTCCCCTCATGAGTTTTCTTTCTGTCCTAGATCTCCTCTCATGAGTTTTCTTTCTGTCCTAGAACTTCTGATTCTCTTTCTGTCCTACTATTTCTCCCAGTTCTCTTTAAGTCCCAGAATCTCCCAACTCTCAGCCCCAGAACTTTTTTCACTGAGTTATCTTTCAGCCGTAGAACTTTTTTCAGTTCTATTTTAGTCTTAGAACAACTCCCATGAATTCACTTTCACTCCTTGACTTTCTCCCACAAATTCTCTTTCAATCCCACAGTTCTTCTTTTATTATTGTTTCAGTCTAGAGCTTCTTTTTAGGCATCTCTTTTGGCCCTTAATGTCAGAATCCTCTAAAACTTACTGTTTTTTTTTTTTAAAGAAAAGGGGGGGGGGGGGGACCTTTTCCACGCCCCCTGGCATCATGGGCAATTAGTGCTAGACCGACCAATCTGCACAGTGGGTGGGTGATGTATCAATATCACACTAGCTGCCTTTGCTTCCCAAGACTACATCAGCCACTTATTTAAGGCTGGTTCGACTTGAAAGCCGAGGTTATTTTTTTTTTCAAAGTCAGGCTCCATTAAGACCAAAACTCAAGACTTTCTGATCCGCAGATGAGCATTTAGCCACTACACTGCTGTGGCTCCACATCTTGATTTAGGAAATTAAAAAAACCCGCATCTGAATTAGGATTTGAACTTTTATTGTTGCCTACTGTTTGCTTATCTGTAGGAAGAAAGGTAGAGAGAAATGAGACAGGTTTCTTGACAAGTCTGTGGGTTTTTTTTTTTTTTTTGGTCATGCCACAAAAATGTATCTCACGTATGAATTTTTAAATGCTGTAGGAGTTTGTCGAATGTGGTGAGTCATGGCTGCTGATGCCACCCAGCAAGACTATTGATGATACTGATGTATATTGTGACATTTGTTTGTCGAATGTCTAATTACATTTCATGTATAATCACAGTATCTTCTTCTGTAAACTCAGGCGGAAAGTTCTGGTTGTTTCTGGACTTTGGTCTTGTTCCACATCTTGGAATTTCTGTGCACATCCATTTTATAGATCTATCTTAATAGTATCCAGGCTGCTGGGTCGCCTGTTGGGCAGATGCACTGCAAGTTCAAAGAAAACATCCCTAATTGGTCGCAGTGTACAACATGCCTGTTAGGATGCAGTGGCTCTGTTCTTTTCCCTCCAGAATGGGTCACTGGGACCCAGCTGGGAGCTGCAGTATCAGTTGTTCTAGATTTGTTTGTGGAAAAACAAATATCAAACCGAATCAATAGTAGAATTAGTCAGCTCAGTAATAGCACAGTCACAAATAGCAAAATGAATACTACTTAAAGTCCATGCCGTGTGGCATTGGTAGTCATGTCTGTCCACAGCCTTCTGTCTTGTGTTCTTTCAGTCAGCTCTGACACAGATGATCCTCCTTGCCATGATGTCACATTGATCAGCAACTTTTCTCTTGATCTCCCTCTGCCTCTCCAACCCTCCAACTTTCCAACTATCACAAGGTACTCCAGTTTTCTCATTCTCATCACATGGCCAAAGAATGTAGATTGTCTCTTTCTGATGTGGGCAATCAGTTCTCTTCCTGAGTCAATTTCTTCCAAGACATCTTCATTTTTGTTGTTGGTCTGTCCAGGGTATTCTCATCATTCATCTATAATGAACACAGCAGCTAGAAAACCATCATCTGACTGTAACAGAAATGGGACCATAGGATAGTTACATACAAAACATTGTAAATAAGTATATAAACAGGCCACAACATTATCGCGAGATAACATTACTTCCACTTGAATGTTTGTGCTGCTATTGAAAACTACCCTCTTAAACCTTACTTATGTTTCCATCAACAGCCATTCCGACAGCACTTGCCCAGAGAAGCCCCAACATCGCCATCATCAAGACCTCACATGGGGGCCACATTGGCTTCCTGGAGGGCTTCTTCCCCCGCAACAGTAACTACATGAACAGATGGTTTCAGCAGTTTGTGTCTGCCGTCTTTCAGCATGGCATCCAATCTGAATGATGTATGTGAGGGGTGGAATCAATTCTGAGTGACATATGTGAGGTTTAGCATCAAGCCTGAGTTATCTATGTGAGGTATGGCATCAAGCCTGAGTGATGTATATGAGGTGTGGCATCAAGCCTGAGTGATGCATATGAGGTGTAGCATCAAGCCTGAGTGATCTATGTGAGGTGTGGCATCAAGCCTGAGTGATGTATGCGAGGTGTGGCATCAAGCCTGAGTGATCTATGTGAGGTGTGGCATCAAGCCTGAGTGATGTATATGAGGTGTGGCATCAAGCCTGAGTGATGCATATGAGGTGTAGCATCAAGCCTGAGTGATGTAAATGAGGTGTAGCATCAAGCCTGAGTGATGCATATGAGGTGTGGCATCAAGCCTGAGTGATGTATATGAGGTGTGGCATCAAGCCTGAATGATGTATATGAGGTGTGGCATCAAGCCTGAGTGATCTATGTGAGGTGTGGCGTCAAGCCTGAGTGATGTATATGAGGTGTGGCATCAAGCCTGAGTGATGTATATGAGGTGTGGCATCAAGCCTGAGTGATGCATATGAGGTGTGGCATCAAGTCTGAGTGATGCATATGAGGTGTGGCATCAAGTCTGAGTGATGCATATGAGGTGTGGCATCAAGTCTGAGTGATGTATGTGAGGTGTGGCATCAAGCCTGAGTGATGTATATGAGGTGTGGCATCAAGCCTGAGTGATCTATGTGAGGTGTGGCATCAAGCCTGAGTAATGCATATGAGGTGTGGCATCAAGCCTGAGTGATGTATGTGAAATGTGGCATCAAGTCTGAGTGATATATGAGGTGTGGCATCAAGCCGGAGTGATGTATATTTGATGTGGCATCAAGCCTGAGTGATGTATATGAGGTGTGGCATCAAGCCGGAGTGATGTATATGAGGTGTGGCATCAAGTCTGAGTGATGTATGTGAGGTGTGACATCAAGCCGGAGTGATGTATATGAGGTGTTGCATCAAGCCTGAGTGATATATTTGAAGTGTGACATCAAACCTGAGTGACGTACAAGAAGTATGGTATCACAGGATGTGTGGTGTTGCATACAAGGTGTGTGTTATGTATAACATACAAGATGTGTGGTTATAGACTGAGTAGCATACAAGATGTCATGTATCCAGTGAATGGCATTTAAGATATCATCTTATCTCTTCAGATATTCAGTGTGTGACATTTAGGATATCATCTTTTCTCTTCAGATTTCATTTGATTGATTTTGCATGGACCATTTCAGTCAGCATGTCAGGTTTATGGAGTGTCTGCATGTGGTGCTGAACTGTCACCCACCAGAAGATTTGGAGTACTGTAGATCAAGAAGAAGAAACAAAATGCAACATTTCGACAAGGGTAAATTAACCTGATCCATAAACAGCATCATATCTCAGAGGCTGTAACAATAATTCCCTGTGTGGGTTTTGGGGTCGCATTTGATGGCTGTGGATAGGGGAGGGGTGGACCCACTCCCCTGTAGTAAGCATGTCGTCAAAGACTGTTAAAGTCAGGTGTGTTAGGCCAAAAAGCACAGATATTGCAGTCTAGCTGTAAACCACAATACAAATTGCTGACCGTCTTTTTAAGGATAAAGAAAGAAGGCGTTGATTGTGGAGTGGATGGCTTGAATGATTGACTTGCATATTGAAAGAATGGTTGACTGGTTCAATGCTAGGCTAATTAAATGGCTGGCTAGTTAAATCGTTGACGTGTTAAATGATTGACAGGTGTATTGAATAAGCAGTGGGTTGGTTAAAGGGTTGACTGCCATACTGAACGAACAGCTGATTGGTTTAAAAGTTGTTTGATTGAGTGATTCATTAGTTGTTAGATTGCCTTAATTAAGGTTTGGTTGAAGTCTGTTTTCGTGTTGAATGAATTGTCGATGAAATGTTAATTTACATATCTGGAGGAATGAGTGACCATGGTTAAATAATTCATTGCTTTGTTGAGTGATTTATTCATTGATTGGAAACATAATTTACTGGCTGGTTGAATTTTTGAATAGGTAATCAATTGACTGATTTATTTTAAAGATTGATTTAAGAGTGTTTTTGGTTAGTGTTTAATTTATGATGCTATACTGGGTAATTGGTTTATAAATTTCATTATTCGACTGAATGTTGATTGACTGATTGTTAAATTCGAATTGAAGTCATGTTTTTATCGTGGAACTTGGTCCAAATGTACAGCTCTGGGAATTCTTGTCTTCTTTTCATTTCTCTTCGCGTCGACTGGCTGTAAACTGATGGAAAGTTCTGGGTGTTCGTCCTCCTCAAGAGTTTAGTCTTGTTCCAGAACCTGGGTGTTGCGTGCATATCCATTTCGTATATCTAACTTTTCCGTATGCAGACTCTTGGTTCCTAGCTTCTCAGGCAGGTGCACTCCGACTTTGAAACATTTCTGCAGTTAGGAGAATCCTATAACATGCTTGTTGGGTAGGCAGTGGGTCTATGTTTTTGTTTTACCCACAATCAGGCCCCGGAACATCTAGGGGATGAATTCTCAGTGTTGGAGATCTTTGTGGATTGTTCATCCTGCTTTCTCGTGGATTATTGAAACGGCAGTGTTGCATTTCCCCCAGTACTACAGTCACTGGGGCCACATTAGTGAAGTCGATAGGTGACTCGCTTTCAAATCCAGCTGCGGCTCGCTGCAGCCTACGGTCTGTGTTCGAAACCAGGCGGTTCCCGGTGTTCACCCAACCTCTGGGTACCAGAGTTAACACTCTGGGGTAAATGGAGGATCGTCGCGGTAGCGTGCGGACAGCGGCACAGGCGGACAGTTTCTTATCAGCTGTCCGTACTGGTGGCAGAGCACTTACGGTTTATAACCGTGTGCAGCGACGCTGGTTCACATCTCTCGACTTCACTTTTTTTTTTTCAACTCTTTCAGCATGGTCCGACTTCTCGGAGAGAATAACGGTTGACCATAAATTCCTGTAGAATGTTGAACCAACTGTTGTGGATTGCCCAGAATGCCCTCAGTGAGAATGATTATGGAACCCATTCTTTTGAGGATTAAACCCACAGTGTTGTGGATTGCTTAGAATGCTGCAAATTCAACATTGCATAAATTCTGTGTGGAACATGATGTCTACTTCATAAACCACACACCATACTTTACCTCATCGTCTGGTGCTCCCAAGAAAAGACTGTACCGGGACCAAATCCACAGCTCTAGGTTAGGAAGCAGTATTTTTGCGAAGAATTTAAAATATCCTCAGCGCACACAGTACCCAGTTACTGGAGCAAACAGAACACCACCCATGCCTGTTGCAATAGCTGCTCATAATCTACAAGATAGACTCTCCGCTCCAGCGACAAACCTGCCTTTACCCAAAATGCACACTCCGGTGCATCACCACACAAGTGCCATTTCTGATGGTGAATTGTACGATTCTTCATTTCCTCCATTGACATATAAGCAGCCTCCCTCTGCCAAACCCAAGGAAGTATCATCGAACAAGCCTGTTGTGTCCCAGATGCCTGCTGCCAAAGAAAGACTTACGAGAGATGATCATGTTAGTAGACCGTCACCGTATAGTCATGCACAGCCTGTCTATCCCTGGAACCCTGAACTTCAGTACCTCACCCAGTTCAATCCAGCAGCTCTTCATCAAGCATTTATGATGTCGCTCCAACGGAGACACTATCCTGTCCCACCAAGGAGCAGTAGTTATTAACTACTTTTTGAAATTGTTTCATATAACTGTATAAATGATGTCTTCACAAAATGTAATGTTCAATAATCAAAGTCAGTGGCTTAGCAAGGATGGCCTGCGAATAGGGCATCTTAATATTTACCATTTACTCGGCAAACTGCCTGAGCTGTCGGTTAGACTTAACAATCAGTTTCATATCTTTGGAGTCACTGAAAGTCGTCTAAACAACAAAATTAATGATAAAGAAACCACTATCAGGGGATTTAATTTAATTCGCAAAGATGCAATAAGAAAATTAGAGACAGGCATAGCAGTGTACATTTCAAACTGTATCAAATATTCCCATAGATGTGATCTTGAATCTATAGCTGTAGAGTGTGTCTGGTTAGAAGTCAAGCCGTCAAATCAGCAGTCAATTTTCATTGGGTACTTGTATCGAAATCCTTGTGCGGGTAATGATTGGTATGATGACTTCACTTCTATGATGGATGAAGTTTTTAGTTTAGGAAAAGAAATTATACTGCTAGGAGACTTTAACATTGATAGCAATAAACCTAACCAAGCGTGGGGGGATATAATTATATCGTATAACCTTAAACAGCTAATTAACTTCCCCACGAGAGTTACAAAAACATCTTCAACCACCATTGATCATATTTATGTCTCCTGTCCGGGAAATATTATTGAATGCACTGTTCCTGTTTTAGCTGTCAGCGACCATTATCCGGTGTGCTGTACATGGTCAAAATTTGGCTTTAGGTCTCCTAAAGATAAGCACCTCACAATTAAATTTAGAAATTTTAAAACCTTTAATTCACAAATATTTTTAAACGATTTGCGAAACGCACAGCTGGAGCATGTTTATCAGCTTTCTGAACCGGACGATGCTATAGCATATTGGATAAAAACAGTCTACAATGTGTTTGATAAACATGTGCCGGTTAAAGAGGTTAGGGTTAAAAGTCAAATTAAGTCTCCATGGATCACTAGGGAAGTTCTGGAAGTTATGAGAGATCGGGACATGGCACATAAAAATAAAAATGTTTTAGAGTATCGTAGGCTAAGAAATAAAGTGCAATACATGATCCGTAGGATCAAGAAAGAACATTTTAGCAAGTTGATTATAGACAAATCAAACAGTACAGACATATGGAAGGCGATTAACATGCTGACCAACAAGAAACATCATTCAGATCCTGTAAAACCAGATTCTCTTACATGTAATGATTTCAGTAATTTTTTTAAATCGGAAATAGAAAATTTAAAATCCGCCATACCAGATGCACAGAGTGACTTAAGCCTGTTGGCATCATTTAGTGATGACAAA